GAGCCGCACCGCGCCGGGCGGCAGTGGAAGTTCGCCGGCTCCTTCTACTTCGCCATCACGGTCATCACCACCATCGGTGAGCGTTGGCATCCCGGAGCGCCTCCTGCGCCCCTCCATCCTTGCATCCCTCCATCCCCACATCCCACACCCCTCCATCCCTGCGTCCCTCCATCCCACACCCCTCCATCCCACACCCCTCCGTTCCACATCCCTCCATCCCCACACCTCTGCACCTCCGCAACCTCCCACACCTTCACCACCTCTGGGTGCCCCAGGACAGCCTGGCGGTGACAGTTCCTGCATAGGAGAGACAGGTCTCACCCTTGCAAGGCTGGGGCATCTCTTCACGCCACCCCCCAAACTGACCCTGTGGGACCCCAGTGCCCAGCGGTGGCAGAGGCGAGGTTCTGGGGGATGCCAGGGGTATTGCTATGGCTGGGGACACAAGACGTGATGGGCACGTTGTCCCAGGGAGGTGGCAGCACCACGGAGCTGCTGCAGGCACGGTTGGGGCAGGCAGCTGCAGAAGTTGGTGGGGGTGTAGGAGGGCAGAGGTGGGAGCCGTGTCCATCCTCTGTGCAGTGGTGTAGCCAACAAGCCAGGCTGAAGAGCTGGGCAAGAACTGCTGCCTTCTTTGCCAGCTCAAAACTGGATGTTTGGCTGTGTGAGACCCGCTCGAGGGAGCCAAGCCAGCCACCAGCCACTGAACCTGCCTGCACGGGAACCTGCAGAGAGACGGGTGTTAGTGAGCTTGGAGGGGAGTGATGGAATCACGCTAACCCCCCAGGTAGACACACTTACCTGTACTAGAGCCCAATGCCTTGGTTTGCCCTCTTCCATTTTGCAAGAGAATGAAACTAAATTAAATGAGGATTGCCTTAATACTCGGTGAGATTAACCACTTGGGAGTTGAGCATTGTTTAATTAATCCACTTTTATTAATCCATGCACCCTGAGCATCCCGTGGGGGCAGACAGGCATGGGATCTCGTGCTCATGTCATTGCCCGTGCTGGGATTTCGACCAGCAGATGTGTTTTGGAGGCAGGAACCCTGAGGCCAAATCCTGCCCTTGCGCAGCCAGCAGCCACCTCCTCTGCTGCAGGACGGGGCTCAGCCTTACCGAGGGGCTCGGGATGGGCGAAATACGTCTGGTGGCTGAAAGCATCATCCCTCAGGACAAGGGCTGGTGGGATGAACTGTGCTGCATCACCCGGGGACGAGAGGTGGCAGAGGGGCAGGTACCCCGCAGGGCCTGCCCCGGGGGGCTCCGTGTGCCCCCACGCGGTGCGATGTGGGGCTGGTGCAGCTGGAGATGCACGTGGCCAGCAAGCAGCGATGGGTTCAGGGCACGGTTAATGTCAGGGCCCAGCAGGAGGGCAGGATGAATGGCTTCCATGAAAATCTCCATCATCTCGTGACAGGTTGTAGCTTCATTTACATTATTTTTCTGTTGACTGTGACAAACAATTGCTACGCTTATCACACACACCATGCAATAAATCATTTCAGCCCAGATGCCATATTTCTAAAATGCTGGCACGTCAGATCTCTTTATATGGGGCTGTGCTCCAAATCTCAGTTTTAACGTTAATGTAGCTGTGTTTACTCTTTCTAATTCTCTTTGTCATTTTGAATGCATCAGTCAAATGCTCTTTCAGGAGTCTCTCAGGGTACAACAACTGTTTTTCCACTTACTGCTCTTCTGGATCATTATATTTGCCTCCCCATTGCTGTCATTGTATTATCTTGTAGCCTAGGACCCACTAATTGCACACGGTTATTAAGCTTGGATCCGACTGGGGTTGGTTTTTTTTTTTTTTTGCTGCTCGTCTCATGTCTGCTCCGTATTCTGTGAAATGTGGCATGCAGGCATTAAGTTTATCATTTTTGATTGCGTGGGTTTATGAACAGACAGAGCAATTAGAAACTGGTCCCTTCCTGCCTGCTTCCAGTTCGGAGCACAATGCAGTAGAGGATAACGCTGTCCTCAGCCCCTGAGCCCTGTCCCATCGCAGGAGTTTCCTGGAGCGGGAGGTGCGCTCAGAGCCTGGGACAGCGTGGTTATCATCCTCTGGCCGACCCATCACTGCGTGCTAGCAGCTTCCCTAAGAGTCCTGGAAATCCACTGGCAGCAGAGACAGAGGTGAAGCCAAATTACAGCTTTGAACGAGGCTGAGAAATAAAAAGAGGGCATTTCCCCCCATGCAAAAAGTCACGTGGATACCTGGCAAAAGTAAAAATATAGATGGCTGTTTGCATCAGGCCACGCGGCAGTGCGGGAAGGAGCCGGCGCTGTTCTACAGGCGCCTTCAGAGAGGGAGTTTTCAGCCCCAGAGAGGGAGTTTTCTTCTCACAGAAACTCAAAAGAAAGGCTTGGATGCCTTCGGATGCCGTTACTCCCCTGCACTGAGTTAGTTACTCATCGGCTTCGGTCAGAGGCCACCGGTTCCTGTCGAGTTTGTATAATGAAGTGAGGTGGGCGCAGAATCACTGAAGTCCGGAAGATTGCGGTGAATACCTCATTACGACTGAGGGTATAATTGTGTGTGTCCTTGAGTCACAGCTCTGAAACTTGGAGCAAGGTGGGGAAATTAAATCTCAGAAGGCGTTGAAGGAGAACCTTGTCCTCCTTGAGCTCCTTGTCCCTGGGACAAGGGCTGACAGGGCTGCGGTGGCGGCAATACTTCCCTGCATTTAAAACAGCACAACCCCTCCTCCCCGGCGATCCAGCACTGCTTTTGGCCTGAGTCTCGGTGGCGCTGGAGTAAACCCCAAGCTGCTCTGCAGAAGTCCTCCCAGGCTGAGCTGCCCCGGTGGGGACTGACCCCATAGCACAGGGGCCCTATAGCTCCTCTCCAACAGGCGAGTGATGGCGGAGCGGAGGGTCAAAGGCACACGTGACACTGGAGGGCTCAGGGGACAGGAGGGGAGGGCGCGGGTGCCGAGGGGACGATGGCTGTGCCAGGGCGGTTGTGGACGGGACCGGCTGGCTGCGTACCTTCCCGCAGGATGACCGGGTGCTCCTGGTGTCAGTGGTCTGCGGAGCCTCCATCCTCCTTCGCTGTGGGGGTTCAGGTTACCCTGCAGACCCAGCGCTGGCACAGCACCACTGCCCCTAAATTGCTCGTGAGCTGCAGAATGCTTGCAGACCCCTACCCAGCTCTAAGGCCGCTCTTGGCCTCCTCATGCAAGCTCAGGGGTTATCAGGAGGGACCGTCTCTCTTTAGAGGCCAAAGGGGGTTCTGCCCACATGATACTACCATGTGCCACCATCCCAAAAGATGTGGCATCCCATAACCCCGTTAGGATTACCTGCAGATCTGTTACCGATTAATTTTTACTTCCCCCTTCTCCTACTGCTCCTCTTGGTCCCAGGGCAGCCTTGCTGGAAACCCCAGTGAGGGCCTGACGCCTGCCTTTTCTCTTTCCTCCACAGGCTATGGACACGCCGCCCCGGGCACGGACGCCGGCAAAGTTTTCTGTATGTTCTACGCCATTCTGGGCATCCCCCTGACGCTGGTCATGTTCCAGAGCCTGGGGGAACGCATGAACACTGTCGTGCGGCTACTGCTCAAGAAGATCAAGAAGTGTCTGGGCATGAGGACAACCAACGTCTCCATGGAGAACATGGTCCTCGTCGGCTTTCTGTCCTGCATGGGCACCCTGTGCATCGGCGCAGCAGCCTTCTCTTACTTCGAGGGCTGGACCTTCTTTCATGCCTATTACTACTGCTTCATCACCTTGACCACCATTGGCTTTGGAGACTTTGTGGCTCTGCAGAAGAACGAGGCTTTGCAAAAGAAGCCCCCGTACGTGGCTTTTAGCTTCATGTACATCCTGGTGGGCCTGACCGTCATCGGCGCCTTCCTCAACCTGGTGGTGCTGCGGTTCCTGACGATGAACTCGGAGGACGAGCGGCGGGACGCCGAAGAGCGAGCCTCGCTGAGGAGAGCCCAGAACAACATCCACCTCAAGCCGAAAGAGGACAGCCAGAGCAGCAATGCCATTTTTCTCCCCGCGGAGGACAGGACGAGCCAGATGAACCTCATCCCGCTCATGCAGGAGGATGCGGAGAGGCAGCGGCGCCAGTCAGCCAACTCGGCGGCCGCGGTCCCCTCCTTCTGCACGTGCCTGTGCTACAGACCTCAGCTGTGCGGCAGCCCGGTGCCCTCCCACCCCGAGACCCTGAGCTGCCACACCAACCCCGTGTATTACAACTCCATTTCCTACAAAATCGACGAGGTCTCCCTGAGCACGCGGGGACAGACCGGCTCTTCCCCGGGGAGCACTTTGTCATCCAACAGCCCTCGCTGCCGGCAACGCCCCCGGCCGCGGAGGAAATCCATCTAGGAGCACGTGCCGAGCTGTACTCAGTGCTCCAGTCTTACTACGATGATAAATTATGAACAGAGATGTCAGGTCCTTCTTACCGCTCTCATTTCTTCCGCTCCTCTCCCCTTCCAGCTGGCAGACAGCCCCACGCAGGGTCCAGCAGGAGCCTTTAAACCCCGTTGAGAAATAACCATTCCTTTTCGCAGGTACTGAATTACGTGGGTAGTTTTCTTTGCTTTTTCCTCCCAAGTAGGTTCAAGCATTCGGGTCTGGCAAGAAGCCCCCCCTGCCCCCCAGGTGAAGGCCATCGAGCTGTAGGTTTGCTTTCCCAACGCCCTGTTCCCCGAACGGAGGTGTTGCTGCCCTCCCACCCTGCCCAACCTCGGCCGTGGCCGTGGCCGCTGCCAGCACACGCCTCTGGTGACACGGGCTGGATTGCACTTGCTGAGAGCACACCAAACGCAAAGCCCGGGCAGGGTTGGGGTATCATTAAGTCCTCCCCCGGCACTGGGCGCAGGTAAGTGGGTGCCACGCAGCAGGTTTGCAGCCGGTGGGCAGGAGGGGACAGGCTGCGGTCCTGCCGCCCGGCACGTGGGGACAGCTTCGTGGCACTGCATCTCCCACGACCAGCCCTCTGCGTGGGAGCTCAGGCTGGTGGCTGGCTCAGTACTTTTGGAAGCTGGAGGTCCACACACTCGCCCACTTACCCACCAGCGCCGCTCACCCCGCTGCCAGCAGGTCCCCCGGGCTGAGCTCCCTGGTGGGATGCAGCGTCCCATTCTCAGGGGAAGCTGAACCCCTCCAGCCCAGCCATAGCCCTCCTCTGGGACCAGCCCAGGCTCTGCTGAGGGCACAGCCCCGGGGGACCCTCGCTGAACCGTACAGAGCCACCTGGAAAGGGTTTGGCCCTGATGAGGTCATTAGCTAAAATCACCCTTTCCTTCACCGCCTTTCCCCCAGCTGGCAGCCCCGCAAGCGCGCCTGCTCCTCGCCTCCTCCGCTCCCCCCGAGCCCGTGGGTTTGCGCTGTTGGGGTTATGAGAGATGGGGTGAGCCCATCTCGGGGTGCGGGATGTGGTACCCGCACAGCCCCAGCTGGGAGGCTGTTTCCAGCTGGTGCCCCCCGACGTGGCCCACATCCATCCTGCTTCATCTGCAGGAAACAGGGCTGGGCTCTGACAGCTGCAGCAGCGGCCTGGCAG